CACCCAGGCGCCCCCTTACAGACTTTTTAAAGAGAAGCTGGGAATCTGGAACTTTCAGTGGAATCCCCCCATTTCTGAACGTTGACAGCTAGTTCAGTATTTTTGCAGAACACTATGCAGGCCAACAGTGAGAGGTCCAAGTAAAACCTGTTTGCTCGCTGCTTTTTGCCAGTGCCAGCATGCCGGGCGGAGGCCCTCCGGTACCTGAAGGACAGGAGAAGAAACTGTGGCGGGGGTCTTGCTGAGGTTGCTTTTTCCAGAAGAGAGCCCCCTTGCCTGGTTGAGACCCAGAGGTCTTTCTGGGCCTCTCCTGCAGTGTGTGCTCGACCTCTGCTGTAGGACAGCAGCCATCAGCCACGCATGCCCAGTGGCCAGGTTCTCTGTGCTCAAGAATAGCGGTCTTCTTACATAGATGGTCCTCAAGAGAGATGTCACCCCTGGGCCTTTTGGGTGATGCTTGCCCGCCCGGTGATGGGCTGCATGTGCAAGACAAAGCCCCTGAGATAACAAACCGGGGCTGCGCGCTTAGTGTCTCCACGTGCGTTCCCGCTGCCCGGCCACACGCGGGAGCCAGGCAGGGCATGCTGTGCTTGGGTGTTGCTGGACTCTGGGGCCCAGGGAGGAGCAAGCTCCAGCTGGCTTGGCTCCACCTGAGAAAGCAGAACAGCTCGGGCAGAAGGCAGTGTGCCTGGGAAGTCTCTACCTGGATCGGAGTCCCAGTGGACAGCACCGGCCATTCACCATCCACTGAGGAGCAAGGGACGAAAGGGAGGAGCCAAGGGTGCCACGCTTTCTCAGCCGTGACTACTTCACACATGAGGGAAATGTGAGGAGCTCGAGGCAGGCAAAGAATGAAGACCGACGACCCGTGGGATTCCCGGGCCCTGGGCTCTCAGTGTTTGCTACGCTACAGGGAGCTCATTACAAACACATGGCCCAGACCTCACTCCCGGAGAACCCGATTCAGTAGTGGCTTGGGCCCAAATCTGGCTTTCAGTACGCTTCCAGATGATTCTGATGCAGAGCCAGGTCGGCAGGACCCCCTCATTTGACACATGGGCGAAGTGGGGCCCGAGGAGGGCCCCCATAAAGACTCCGTGGCTGGGGTGGCAGAACCCGGGACTCAAATCCTGGCATCAAGACTCCCATCCTAGTGCCCTTCACCCTGCCACTCGGGGGGTTCGATGCTGGGACGGAAACCTGCCGTCAGCAGCCTTGGTGGGAAGAGCTAAGACCTCAGGCCGACCTCCACCCCTCCCATCACAGCTTAAGTGAAAACAACGGGCCAGTTGGCATCCCAGGTGCACAGGGGCTTCTAAAAGGGCTGCCTGACTGTCACGTGGGTTGCCTCGAAAGGCAGCCCATCACTGGAGGGTTTAGGCAGAGGTCGAACGGCTACTCAGGACGCCTTGGAGGTCCTCACACCGGGCAGACGGATCCAGGATGCCCCTCCACCCCGCGACTCTGGGATCCTGTGACCGAGCCCTGCAATAGCAGGACTTCCAGGGGCCCTCCCGGGACAGAAGAGCAAGGGCAGAAGTCACGCCAGAAGAATGTGGTCCTGCCTGCTTTCCACAGCGCAGCCAGAGGGCAAGGGTGGGTCAGCCCAGCCATCCCACAGGAAGGTAGCCTGCGTTTCGTGAATCTGGCCCACACAGGGGTGGAACCGGCCACATCCTCTCGGGGCAGGGCTGGAGTTTGGAAGCCTTGCCGTGGGGTGCAAAGCAAGTGGGCTGGGAGGTGGGCGTGGCCTGGAGCAGGGGCTAGCACACGTCTGTACCCTCCGGCCCCGGATTTGGCCAGCAAAACAGCCCCTGAGCCCCCCGTGGCGTGTGACGGCTCCAGAGAGTGGGGAGAGGCGGCCGCTCAGGTTTTGGTGGTTGAATTAGATAGGCAACAGATGTGGTGGTTGAATTAGTCAACAGATGTGTGCCTCGTCACACTCTGGAGGAGCTAAAAATGGGTCGGTCCTAGCTTGGCGCCTGACAGGGCCTGCTGCAGAGTGGCAGTGAGTAGGATGGGTGGATGTGGTGGGCGGGGGGCTGCACTTTGACCTCAAGGCAGATAAAGACCGGAGCAGCTCATTTGATCCTGCTCTTAGGTGCACCTGGCTCCGTGTTAGGAGCCATAGACGAATGAGCGCCCTTGACTCAGGTAAAGGGTCACGTGGTGAAGCATGCTTCTCAGGACGCCGATGCCTGCTTTAAATTCTGGCTCTGCGCCCTGCTGACCGGCCTCGGGCAGGCTGCTTCACCCTCTGAGCCTTAGGTCCTCACCCACCTCCTATTGGTGTTTGGGGGCGGTGCTAATGTGCTGATGTCATTCAGGCTGTTCTCCACACACCAGAAGTGCTCAGCAGATGTCCTGGGGATGAGGGAAGCGCCCAAATGGTCATGGGCACTGAGGAGTCATCACTGGTGTCAGAAGACAGAGAACAAGGATATGTGCTCTGAGGCCGGAGGACGGGCGAAGGTTCCATTGGGGGGACAGAGGAAGCAGCTTTCGTGCAGAAAGGAATTACAAGAATAACTGTAGCTGGCATCATCGAGCACTTACTGCGTGCAGGCCCGTGCTAAGCACCTTATGTCTACTTTCTTAACTCTAATCATGACCATTACGAGGCTCAGATGGGGGTAAGGGATTGCCCAGGGTCACATAGCAAGCAAGGAGCAGAGCCAGACTGCTCCCTTTTCTGTCTGGCTCCAGAGTCCTGCACCTGGACCTTGAGGGAAGGAGGCAATCATACACTAGAGTTTGTTTAACTGACCTAGTACTTGGAGCTCAACTCTCTTGTCCCTAAAGCATTATGTTTGGAGTCTGCTTGAACACCTCCAATGGAGAACTCACTACCTCACAAGGCAACTGTTTCACCTTGGCTCAACCTAAGGATGGCTGGATTCCACACCCCTTGGCCCCTACACTTATGGGATGATCAGTTTCATTCAGGTGGTGAAATTATAAATCTTTTAACAAGCAAGACACTTGAGGCCAGAGACAAGAAGCAAATCTGAGTCGTGCCCGAAATACTCTGAGATAGAAGCACAAGGTTTGCCTGAGGGTCGGGCTGGGCCTGGCCACCGAGCTGCCTGCAAATGCTTGACGGATGGGAGCCGAGGTTCCCCAGGGCAGCAGTCATGTCCTCCTTGTGTTCTCAGTTCACATGGCACCCGTCCCATCCTCACAGCCACCCTCCAGATCCCTTGGACATGGCGCCGGTGTAAGGACCACGGCCACTCCAGGCATGCCCTCCAACTGCCCTCGTTGGGGCCTTTGCCCCCTTTTTCTCTCTGCCTGATATCCTCCCTCATCCTCCACCCACTGATGTCCTATTCAAATACCACCTCCTCCAAAAAGCCTTCCTGGATTTCTCTCTTCAACCAAGCAGCTTTTCCCCCAGCATGGACCTCTCCTGCACCCCTCTTCTGCCTCAGCTGTGGCGGGGGGGCGCCCAGGAGAGCGTAAGTGAACCAAGTGCAATCGTTGTCCGGCTCTGCTGACTCTAGGGCAGCGTCCTTGTGAGCACACACTGAGACGAGCCCAGGGGCGTGAGCTACAGGGAGCGTGCGCTACATTTCCTGGGGGCTTAGGTAATGACAGAAGTGGCTTCATCTATCAGGAGGAAAATAGGAAAATCAGTCGGCGTGGTAGGACCCTGGTTGATCTGTCTCCCTATTTTTAAAATCGCTGTTTGGGTTTGCTGTGTGGTTACCACGGAGGCACACACACAAGTGAACGTGGCAGCCCTTCCCCCACTGGGTGTCTCGCTCGCCTCATGCCCCGTCTCTGCTCTCTTCCTTGACAGTTCTTCGCACACTTATGGGACACAAAGCCAACATCTGCAGCCTGGATTTCCACCCGTACGGCGAGTTCGTAGCCTCAGGTTCCCAGGACACGAACATCAAGGTGCGACACTGTTCTGTGCCTCGTGTCTCCCGCTGGGCCAGCAGTGGGCCCTGGGCTGTGTGTCGTACCTGAGGACGACACAGGTAGCTTTTGGCTCTGTGGGGGGTGCGTCTTCCCTCTGGTAGTGTCTGCACCTTCCAAGGAAGAGGGATGTGGAAACATTTGCCAGACATTCTCAGAATGCCCAGCTTTGGGGCACCTGGGTGGCTTGGGCAGCTGAGCATCCGACTTTGGCTCAGGTCATGATCTCATGGTTCGTGGGTCTGAGCCCCACGTTGGGCTCACTGATGTCAGCATAGAGCCTGCTTCGGATCCTCTGTCCCCTCTGTCCCCGTGCCCCTCCTACTAGCTCTCTCTCTCTCTCTCAAAAAGAAATAAAAATTAAAATGTAAGATTTTCAGCAAAAAAAAAAAAAACCTCACCTTTAGTGAACAGTTTCCAGAACCCTGTCGTTTTGGGGTATAATGACCTGGGGGTGCCTAGAACCCCTCTCTGCTCATGGCCGCACACCGCCCTCTGAGCTGGGCACCAGGACTGAGCTTGGCCCCTCGAGGCCAAGCCCACCTTGGTAATGACCTGTCCTGACTCTGCCCCTCTGCTCTTCTCCCCACAGCTCTGGGACATCAGGAGGAAAGGTTGTGTCTTCCGATACAGGGTAAGGAGGGCGCCCTTTGTCGGTCATTCCGCGAGCACCATGCAGGCGTGGAGCATGGGGTAGTGCCCAGACCCTGGCACGGGGGGTGGGGTGGGGGCGGAATTCTGTCCCATATGGGTGACGATGTGGGAAATGAGGGTCCAAGTGAGAAACGTGAATCTAGAGCAGAGCAGGAGTGCTGTGGGCGGTCCACCTGGGTCCCCCGCTTTCCATGACTCCTCCCAGACCTGTATTTACCAAACTGTGCTCCGTACTCTGGCTTTGTAGGCAGATGACAGGTGTCATTAGGTGAAAAGCATTCCTGTTCATATGGGTTTGGAAGCACCGAGTTTAGTAAGTAATTTTGGACATTTTTAGACCCTTGACGTTAAGAGGGGACACGTACCTCTGCAAAAAGAGGCATGAGATATGTTGCTTTCCAAGCTAATATGAATGACCGATAAATCTGGATTTCCTGGAGCATCCTGCAGGACCGGGAGTCCTGAGTGCATGAGAAGTGTTCCTCTGTGACACCCTCCGTGACCCCTCCCTCACAGGCCTGCTCGTCAAGGGCGGGGTGGTGAGGAGGGAGGCCCCTACGGTGAGCTCGGCGCTCTGTCCTCTCCTCAGGGACACAGCCAGGCTGTGCGGTGTCTGCGGTTCAGCCCCGACGGGAAGTGGTTGGCATCGGCCGCAGATGACCACACAGTGAAGGTAGCTCCCGGCCTGACCTGGGCCCGGGGCGGGCTGAGGTCTGCTGATCACGCTTGGCCTGGGTCCTCTGCCATCCCCCCCACCCCCAGTCGGGCTCGAATATCCCAAGCCTGTCGAGAGCGGAAGGCGGCTCACGGATAAAGAGCCGGGGCGGGAATAGAGGGAGAGCGGGCAGACGAGGTCCCAGGCCGGGTCCCGACCTCCCTCCCACCCTGCCCCAGCTCTGGGATCTGACTGCTGGCAAGATGATGTCTGAGTTTCCTGGTCACACGGGGCCTGTCAACGTGGTGGAGTTTCACCCCAATGAGTACCTCCTGGCTTCTGGCAGCTCTGACAGGTGAGGAGGAGCAAGGCCTGTGATCCATGACTGCCACCTCTCATCTCTGTCCTCTGTGTGTGTCTCTCTGTCCCAGTCCATCTTTGTCCCGAGGTGTCCTATGCCGGTGATGCTCTGTAGACCGAACTGACTTCCGGCCGTGCCAGGGTGGGGTCCTGGTCCCATCTCACCCCCAGCCCTAGTTCCCGGGCCCCAGCGTCCTGGGCCGTCATGGCATGTCCAGATCTAAAGCCCATGCTCACCTCCCACCTGCCACGGCCCCTCGCCTGCCTGTGTAGGGTCAACCCCTGGCCCTAGGACTTGCTCTTGGTGGCCACAACCCAGAGGGATGGGCGTTTGCAGAGAAGCGGGCTTTCCAGGCCCTAGGCCCGCATGCAGGCTGGCACGGGGCCGCCGGCTCCCCGGCACAGCCTGGCTGCCTTTGCAGGACCATCCGGTTCTGGGATCTGGAGAAGTTCCAGGTGGTGAGCTGCATCGAAGGAGAGCCAGGGCCTGTCAGGTGCGCAGGCAGCTGGGTGGCGGGTCTGGGCCCTCCTCTGGGGCCATGGGATGTGGGTATGGGTGGGCCTTTCCCGTCCCCGCTTCTGCTCCCTCTGTCCGGGGCTCCCCACAGCCTTCCTGGACTTGTTGGGACCCACGGCCCACTCTCGCCTGGCCCAGGAGCGTCCTCTTCAACCCCGATGGCTGCTGCCTGTACAGTGGCTGCCAGGACTCTCTGCGCGTCTATGGCTGGGAGCCCGAGCGCTGTTTTGACGTGGTCCTGGTCAGCTGGGGCAAGGTGGCCGACCTGGCTGTCTGCAACGACCAGCTGGTGAGAGAGCCACCCACCGCCTCCCCCTCAGGCCCTCACGTCCCCCCCAGCCCTGCTGGGGTCCTGCCCTCCCGTACCCCAGCTCTGCCACTTCCTGCAGATAGGTGTGGCCTTCTCCCAGAGCAACGTCTCCTCTTATGTGGTGGACCTGACGCGGGTCACCAGGACAGGCACCGTGGCCCAGGACCTTGTGCAGGACAGCCGGCCCCTGGCGCAACAGTCAGCCCACCCTAGTGCCCCGCTTCGGCGCATCTATGAGCGGCCCAGCACGGCCTGCAGCAAGCCGCAGAGGTAGGGTGCTCAGGCCCCAGAGGGCTCAGGAGGTGGGCCGGCACTGAGAAGGCTTTGGGGGACCGGCCCCAGCTGGCGGGGCCGGCCTCCTATCGGCTCGGCCCCGCCCCACAGGGTGAAGCAGAACTCGGAGAGTGAGCGCCGTAGCCCTAGCAGCGAGGATGACCGGGATGAGCGGGAGTCTCGGGCCGAGATCCAGAACGCCGAGGAGTACAACGAGATCTTCCAGCCCAAGAACAGCATCAGTGAGGCCCGCCCCCCGGCCCCTGCCCAGCCCGGGGCCCCCATCTGTGCATGGAGGCCAACGGTGCTTTATGGGGGACGGTGTGGATGTCGCTGTGCTTCCGAGGCTTGATTCCCAGCTTACACCTGGAACCCAGGCTCTGTCCCAGGTCTTCAAGGCCCCAGCAGAGGCCCCGCAGTCACTCATTGCCCCAGCCCATCCCGAGCAAGGGAAGGCCCCATAGGGGCAAATAGATGGGAGGGTGCAGGCCTTGGGTTTCCTGGGACCAGGAACGGGGTCACAGGTCTGCAGCTGTGTGTGCACCTGGGGACCACCTTCTATCCCCTGTGTCCCAGGCCAGCCCGGCTCTGAGGGCTCAGGCAGGAGCCCCAGGCTGGCCATTATCAGTCCCCAGCCCTCCTTGCCTCTGCAGGTCGGACACCACCCCGAAGAAGTGAGCCCTTCCCGGCACCCCCCGAGGACGGTGAGTCGGGCGGCGGAGCTTGGCCTCCCAGGGTCACCAGCTCCCCAGGCCTCATCTGCCGTGGCACCATCTCCAGTTTCTCTGGGCTCACCCCAAAGCACCTGCTGTGCG